AGTAAATGTTCAATGACGGATCTGTGTGGTTCATGTGAGATTTTAGGTTATGATCGACATTTCAGTCGCTGGTGCTTTGTGATGCTGCATGTTGAATTGAGTTAGATTTCTTCCTTTTCTTGACTTGTGTTGCATTTGGTGACTCTGGGAATACAGTTCGTGCTTCTGGCTGTGCCAGATTTTCTATGAAACAGGGTTTCCCTTGTTTAGGAGTTAGGATTGAGGATTTTTGCACCCTTATTGTGCTCTTTACTGGAGACACCTGAAGATTCATGAGGAACGAAAATCTTCAACAGGATTAAACAGAGATTCTGCTGACAAACATCTTAATTTTTTTTTACACATTCTTGCGGTAACCTGACATCATCAGAGTTCTAGACAACTGAAAAAAGACTGAAAGTTTGAAACCTCCGTTATTACAGACACATAATTCAGTGTAAAGGCAGCCAAACTAGATTATCTTCGGGGATGACATGACATACAGGGGATTCTCTGGGTTTAACCTTGATCAGACGAAAGGCAATGTGATCCGAGTCCCACCCAGAAGTGTCCATGTGGCAGATTCCTGGGGCTTTGATTTTATCTCCATTCTCACCTACAAGGGAAAACTCAAACAGCCTGTTGTCACTCTCTTGGGTATGGCAAACGAACACTGCATAAGGATAAGGCATCCTGTGACAACCTAGGATTCTTGGGGCATAGATTGCTTTAGGTTCCTCAGAAATTGTATAGTTTTGTAAAGGAATAATGCGTCCTTTGTCAAATTTTGGGGTTAAAACCTTAAAGTGGGTATGGGAGCCAAAGACAGATTGAACAAAATCAAGCATAGATTCCAGGGAAGTAAGACAAGACTTGGTTTCACCTTTCATGGGTTTTTTTTCACATTGTTTGAGGGTAGTCTCCATTGCTTTGGCTTGTTCTGAGTCTTTGGGGAAGGAGAATAAGTCAAGTAGATAAGGGAGTTGTTTTGTGGAGAAAGGAATTGCATCTGCTTCTTCTCTCGAGAGGAGAGGAGGCGAGCCGGTGGATGGATTGTCTTTGCTGGCAAACCAGATTGGCAGGGTTTTGCCAACCTTAAAGTCATCTACCCTGAAGAAAATGTTCAATGAAGGATCTATGTGGTCCACGTGGGATGGCGTTTGATGAGATTCCTTGGCAATATTGCTATGTTCTGGCTGATGCAGATGATCATATATATAGCCAAGACCTTTCATCTCTTTTGCAGAGTACTGCAGTCAAAATCAAGAAGAAAAGTTAAAAACTTGAGTTGAATGCAACAGAATGCTATTTGATGAACGACACTGCTGATTTCAGCCAAAAAAGAGTTTAATGCAATAAATTGGTAGAAGTAACATCAGAAAAGGTGCAGAAAGTTCAAATCAAAATATTACCATGAGGATAATGAGGGAAGAAAAGATGCAGAAAGTTCAAATCAAAACATTACCATCAGGATGATGAGGAGAGAAAGGATGATGCACCAGAGTGAAAGGTTATTACCCATCACTGTTTCTCTCTGCCCTTTTGGACTCTGAACTAAGGAAATAGTTATCAACTAAGCCAATTGGGAAGTTAGTCTAATAATGGGAGGAATGTTTTGGTACATAAAGGAGTTGAGGCCAAGTGGAAATTAGTATATGATTAGACTAAATTGAATGCCTCCTTAAGTAACAATCGGAATTTATCATGATTCATGAAAACCTACGCCCATTTTAAGTTCTATATAGATTCAGGATTCCTATCTGGGTGCGTGGAGAATATTTCCAAGTGAAATGGTCAAAACTTTATTTAAATGAAAGGATAGATTAGGATAATCCGTCGTTTAAATTCATTAGCCTTTTAAACTATGAATTAAGGCATGCTGCTTTTGTGTTTTATAGTTTCTAATAGATGGTGATATAACTCCTAGGCTTCAGCTTTTGCGTATTTTCACGTTTTCTTTTTGTTCATCATATAGGATTACGTTATTGTAAATCTTGATAGGTGCATCATGTATGCTCATCTTCTGTGAATGGATAACCAACCAGGAATTATCCTGCATCATATTTGAATACATTGCCAAGTCTGTGGGTTTTTTTTTTTTTTTTTTTTTTTTTGTTTTGTTTGTGTGTGCATCCGTGCTCCTGCAAAAATATGGGATTTAAGAAATATTATTCCCATTTGCCTGTTGTATGGATAATTCATTTAAAAGTCGAAGTTTATGCTTCCTGCTTGAAGCAGAGTGCTTCATGCCATCAATGAAAATGAAACCTGATTAATGACTGAAGATAATAGATCATCATTCTGGGTGTTACATGCTCGTTCCAAGAACAAGGTATTATTTGTACATCATCATTCTCAATTACTACTTTTATTGGTAATTATCAAGGCTTATAAATGGAATGGTAAGTAAAATCGATTTTAAGCCCCACATCACACAAAGCACTACCAAGTTCCAAACAAAACTGTGTTTCAGGAGATCAAGCTAAGCAAAACATGAAGACCCCCTTTGCTATTTTCATAATCTTCTTCTCCATCCTCTTGGTAAGGTTTGTCTTCCCTCAATATTCCCAAGAAATCAGTCAGTTTTTTTCCCTTTCCAGTTCTAATGCTATATTTTTCTTTTCCATGCTTGTAATGGGGTGTATATAGTTTGTGGAGCTTAGTCATGCAAGGAATGGACCTAGAGAGTATTGGGAAAGCATCATGGGTGGCGAGCCAATGCCGCATGCCATCAAGAAACTTTTTCATCTAGCTCGAACTTGTTTGGACCAAGAAAATGCTCCTAAGAAGAAAATTGTCCCCTTTATCAGGGATTTCGACGTCCGCCTTAATGTTTTTTAGTAATCCTTTGTGTTAGGGAAGGATCCCTTTGAATAGGTTTAGTTCCCAACTGATCCCTACAATGTGTTGTAGAAAAGTTTATATAGCTACAAGTATAATAATGTTAGGTGCGTTCTTATTTTTACGCAATTGAATTATGATTCTGTTTACTGTAAAAGGGTGTGTGCACTTCTAATACGATATCATCCATAGTCTAAAGAAATTAATTCTCGGCCACTGCTAACAAATTAACTAGAAAGAAATATAGCACCTGACCTTCATGACCCAATAGTTATAGGTCATAGGTTGACTCGTAAGATGTATCCCCAGCTCGAAAGCTGAGATTCGAATTTTCACACCTCTGATTTATAATACTGTTTAGAAAAAAAAAAAAAAAACTAGAAAAAGATATAGTTTTTATAATGGTAAAATAGATTTTTTATTTCTTGGTCTTTTGGTTACTCACTAAAAGAGGTAATTTTATCTCTTTTTTTTACCCTGTCACTAAAGATGACAATTTTTCTCACATCTTGCAAAGCTTTGAAGTAATAAAAATAGATGGAGGCAATTTTTCCCACAAAATTATACTAAAACTTTCCACAGCCCAACAGGTCCTCATGGAATCCAATTAAATAAAAAGTTACAAATTATTTTTTTTTATAAATTATAGTAAATCCAATGAATCGAACCTTTCATATTTAATGGTTTGTCTATAAACTTTAATATTTAAGTTTAGTTAATCAAAAGTTCAATTTTCACTTTACTGAACGAAAAATATCCTCTTCCCAAGTGATTCCCCATGTAATATATATATATATATATATATATATATATAAAATAAACCCAATTACCCATCTCAAATATCTCAATTCCTATAAATTATCCTTAGCCACAAATATTTGACTCTCACGTTTCTCCTCTATGCAACCTTAGTCACTTCCTCCCAACCTCGCCTCTCCTCAGTTCCTTCCTTAATTCAAGAGTTTCCAAGATGAATCCACCAATGCCATTACCTCCCCGCTTGAACTAAACCCACCAATCTATCATTAAAGCTCTTCACCCCATTAAACCCCATTAACTTTTCATCATCTCCTTCGAATTTTTCGATCCTGTTCTCCCCTACCCAAATGGCAAAATCTGATTCTTCCACTCTTCCCGTCTCTACTCCACTTGCTCCAGTATTCTTCTATGTCTTCATTCATTTTTCTACTTAAATTCTTTGTGCGCTTTTTAAAAAAAGAAAAAAA